AGGGCAGGAGCACCCCCGACAAACGGAGGACAGGCAGGGTCAGAGACCAGAGTAGTGGCGTAGTGAAGGCGGCGAGTAGAGGCGAAGTCAGCGACCGCAGCTACCAGAGCGTCAAGGCACGAGACCGGAACAGACGGGTCGGTAACGAGAGAGGCAAGGACCCGAGGAACAAGAGGACGAGCGGCACGAAGGTAGTCAGACAGAGGGGGGGGTGCAACAACAAGGGAGGACGGAGGAGGCGACGGGAGAAGGGGAGGACGAGACGTGTGGGAACGAAGGAACATAGGGTGGGAGCGCAAGACAGGGGAGGCAGGACGAGCACGGGAGGGACGGTGAGACCAGACGTGAGACGGAGGAGTCGGGTCAGGAGACACGGGAGGGGACACAGGGGGGGAACGAGGGGGAAGACGAGCCGGGGACGAGTCCGGCGGTGCGAACACAGGGCCGTACACGGGAAGAGGAGGAGACGGCCGGAGAGGAATAGACGCAGGGTCAGGGGACGGAAGGCCGAGCAGGCGAAGGGCTGACACCGGCGGGGACTGCTGCTGCGGCGGCACAACGCCGACACCGGGACCGCAAGCTGCTCCTCGGCTACCACCGGCACACTCCACGCCAGCACCCCCAGAGGGAACACCTCCAGGGCCCGAAACCCCTCGAGGACCGGTACCACCCCCAGGGGTACCGGGACTAGCACGCACTCCAACGCCAGCACCCCCAGAGTCAACGAACAGGTGCTGCGACGGCGGCGGTGGCGGGAGCGACCACGACAACGGCAGCGGCGGCGGCGGAGGTGACAACGGCTGCGACAGCAGGGGCGACAGCGGCGGCAGAGGCGGTGGAGGAGGGGACGCCTTGGGAGGGGCAGCCGGCGAGGATTGCACCGCAGGACCACCAGAGTCAGAAGACTCCTCAACCGGGACCACCGACGGAAGAGGGGTGACGTGGGACACACCAGAGGGGGCAGGATGGGGAGGAGGAGGGGGAGGGGCAGGGACTACCGGGGAAGGAGTGACCAGGAACAGGGGGGGGGTAACCGGGGGACCGCGGTGGGGGAAGCGACGGTTGTAGGAGACGGACTCATCAAAGGTGACGTCGCGAGAGTGAAAGAAGCGGTGAGACGGCGGGTGGTAAAAGTGCCAGTCGGACGCGTCAAGGGGAAAACCGAGGAAGACGCAGGGAAGGGTGCGGGCAGTGAGCTTGTCCGTGCCGGAGGCACAGACGTGAGCAAGGCAGCCCCAGACGTGGAACGCATACGCGTGACCAGGAGACCCAGTCCACAGACGGGTCGGCGAAACCTGCGGCTGTTGGGGGTGCGGCCACAGGTTAAGCTGGTGAGAAGCGTAGCGCACAGCGAACGGCCACAGAAAATGGGGTGCACCGGCATGGATCATGGAGGTGCGAGCCACCTCCATGACCAAACCGATGCGTCACTCAGCAACCCCATTCTGCTGTGGGGAGTCCGGTAGGGTGAACGTCTGGGTGATGCCCTCCGCACGACAAAAGTGACCAAGGACACCTGAGGCAAACTCGCCACCACGGTCGGAGTGAAGGCGCAAGACAGGGAGACCTCGGTGGACATGGGCAGAGAGAAGCCAGGGGATGAGAGCGGCAGGCACGTCGGCCTTCCGCTCCAGAGGAAAGACCGAGGTGTAGCGAGTGAAGTCGTCGACAAGCACAAGGAAGTAGCGCTCTCGACGCGGCCCATGGACGTGGGCGGGGCCCCAGACGTCCATGTGCAGGGTCTGCAGTGGCGCGGCGGTAGGGGGAAACGAGGAGGAGTGAGGGTCACGGCGAAGCCGACCCTCGACGCAAGGCGTGCAAGGTGGTGTTGGGGAGGAGGGAAAAGCGGGGAGAGAACCAAGGAGACCAAGGACGAGACCGTGCTGGAACATGTGATGCAGACGCGGGAGCGCAGGGTGACCTAGGCGGTGGTGCCAAAGGAGAGTCGGGTGAGTGAGGGACCGACAGGAGCAGGCAGCAGCAACCTGGGTAGACGCAGCCACCTGAGGGGGCGCCCCAGCCGGGGGGGTCACGGTGTCCAGAGTGAACAGGCCGGACACCGGGTCTCGGGGGAACGTGGATAGGGGGGCACCAGTGGCGGCCTCGGTACAGACAGCATACCGCTCGTGACCAGGGAACGTAGTGGTGACGCCAAGGTCCTGGAGGCAGCCGACACCAACTAGGTTCCTGGAGAACGAGGGGATATGCAGACCTGTAAGAGAGCCCGAAGGAATCGCCGGACAGGGAAGGGTGGTGGAACTGCGGGCGACTACCGGACCGCTGGAGGGGTCAGCAAGAGAAACGGCAGCAGGAACAGGAAGCGGCGTCAGTGTAGTAGAGTCGCGGAAGAAGCATCGGGAAGCGCCAGAGTCCAAGGTGAAGGAAAGCGAAGCAGTGGCGTCCGGCGACGGGGCGACGTCGGAAGCACCAAGGCTAAACAAAGCAGGGGATCCTACGCCTGACGCAGCAGGGGAGGCTATGCTAGGCACACCTACACTAGACGACAGTGAGTAATAAGCGGGAAGCGCACTAGAGTCATCAGCATACATCACATGCAGAGCAGAAACAATGGCATCCATGTCCATGTCAAAAATCTGAAACTTACGAGTAAGCAAACTGTGCTAGTCCGGAAGGTCTGGCGACGGGCCGAAGCGCTGACGAAACAGGTCGTCCAGGCGACGAAAACAGCGGGGAGTGGTATGACCGAGCTTACCGCAAACGAAGCCGCGGCGAGGACCGGTTTGGATCTGGTACTGACAACGCACGCCTCCCGAACCACCACTCGACACACCACCATGCGCCCGACCACCTGCAGCGCCAGGCCACCCGGGCGGGAGGACACTCGCCTGCCTCGTCTGCGGCGGCTGCTGCCGAGGCTGCGGCTGCTGCGACCGCTGCGACTGCTGCGGCTGCTGCTGCTGCTGCTGCGACTGCAGAGGCGGCGGCTCAGCTGGACTGGGCAGGGTCCCCTCGTTCCCTCCAGCACCAGACGACCCGACTCCACCACCACCCCCTCCTGCACCCCCGCCTCCTCCGCCGCGCCCAGCCTTGGGGCGGCGGCCCTTCCCCGAACGAAACTGCGCTGCAGCAGCAGTCTCAGCCACAGCGACAGAACCGTCGGAGAAGGTACACTGAGCGGGGGCACAACCCTGAAAGATAGGGACCGGCACGATACCGCTCGCCTGGGCGATGGAGCGGTGGCGGGTCTCAATAACAGTCAGGGTGTCTACAAAGTCGGTGAGGGTGAGCTCACCTGGGTGAATGCTAAGGAAGCGGTCGCGGGCGGCGGCAAGGCGGTCAGGGAGGCGGGTGGCAAGCAGGTAGAGGGTAGAGGTAATGGGCAGCTGGTGGGCTCTAAGCTGTGCGTCAGTGCAGGCAGCGCGCCAGGTCTCATCTATCGAGCGCAGGTGGGCAGCTAGGTCAGAGACAGTGGGGAAAGACGCAAGGTCGGGAAAGAGCATCGGGAGGATCAGGCGACCCACCGAGGCAGCAGGAGGGGTGGAATAGCGCTTGATGACAGCATCTAAGTAACCCTGGGCGGTAGTGATGGACCTAAAGCGAGGGCGCTCGGACGGGGGAAGGGCATTGCTAATGGCAAGCTGAGCGACAGCGTCTCGGGAAAGCCAGACAGAGCGCGCAAGGGCAGTGGCTGCAGTAGACTCGCGCTCAGCGGGTGTGGGGTCAGCGGGCAGAACAGCAGGGGGGTCTGGGCAGGGGAGCGTACCGTCAAGGTGTGCGGAAAGCGGGTGGCCATCCTGCCGATGACCAGTGAGGTGGCGACGGAGGTCGGCGAGCCACGCCTCGAACTCCAGAGGCTGGCCTTCAGCATCGAAGCGAAGCTCCGCCGCCATCAGGAGCAGTGCAGGACTGTACAGTGCGGTGCAGTGCGGTGCAGGGCGGTGCAGTGCGGTGCAGGGCGGTACTGTGCAGTGCAGTGCGGTGTAGTGCGGTGCAGGGATGGGGAACCGTACCAGGGAGGATGCAGGGCCGGGGCAGGGATGACGAGCGGGCCGCACACAGCTCAGGGCAGGACGGGCGCGGGGGCCAGAAGCAGCGGGCACCAGGTCGACGGGACAGGCGCGGGGCCGGCTGGGACGGGCGCAGGGGCCGAGCAGACGGGCGCGAGGGTCGGCTGGGAGGGGCGCAAGGCAGGAGCGGCGGGGCCAGGCAGGCACGGCGGGGCCAGGCAGGCGCGGCATGGCCAGGCAGGCGCGGCGGGGCCAGGCAGGAGCGGCGGGGCCAGGCAGGCGCGGCGGGGCTGGGCAGGGCGCGACGGGGCCAGGCAGGCACGGCGGGGCCAGGCAGGCGCGGAGGGGCCAGGCAGACGCGACGGGGCCAGGCAGGGTGCGACGGGGCTAGGCAGGGCGCGACGGGGCCAGGCGGGCGCGACGGGGCCAGGCAGGGCGCGACGAGGCCAGGCAGGGCGCGACGGGGCTAAAAGGCGTGACGGGGCCCAGGAGGGGCGCGACGGGGCCCAGAAGGGGCGCGACGGGGCCAGGGGGGCGCGACGGGGCCCAGGAGGGGCGCGACGGGTCCCAGGAAGGGCGCGTCTGGGCTAGGGGGCGCGATGGGGCCCAGGAGGGGCGCGACGGGGCTAGGGGTCGCGACGGGGCCAGGGGGGGGGCGCGACGGGGCCCAGGAGGGGCGCGACGGGGCTAGGGGGGCGTGACGGGGCCAGGAGGCGTGGCAGGGCCTAGGAGGGGCGCGACGGGGCTAGGAGGCGCGACGGGGCCCAGGGGGAAGCGGCGGGGCCTAGCTAGGGTACGGGCGGAAGCGGTAGGTGGGGGATCCTAACCTACGCGTGATACCATATCAAAGTGAGAAGCTGAATGATGAGTAGAGAGAGAGTACAGGTGAATATACCTAAGTGTTGTACCCTCTAAGAGGTGGCCCTATACAGTCTATGCAAACATAGGAGACACACATGTTTGACACCTTCTTGTACTTCATTCTCTTCTAGTCTATCCCTCTTCTCTCTCGACACTTTCCTCCCCTAACTAAACCTCTGGCCACCATTTCATGGCGGCCTCTCTTCCTAGTTAAGCTAGCATTCGAACATTACTTTCTACTTCAAGTACTTGTGTCTGCAGATTCTATACTTCGTCTTCTGCACCGCTTTTAAATTCTTGCAGCAGCTTAGTAACATGGCTGAGTAATTCAATAATGCCACCTTCATCAAAGTAAGTCTAAAAGGAAAGTGATGACCCGAATGCAGATATTGTGCCAGTATCAGTGATGCCATTATGACCACAAGTAGGAAATCTGCAGTAGCACTGGCCACCAGAACAACCACCACAACCAACTCCTGCTACTGCTGCTGCTGGAGCTGCTGCTGCTTCTGCTGCTGTTCTTTGTGGTGGTAGTGCTGCTGCTGGTACTGCTGTTCTGAGCCCCCAACCATCACCCTGCGAACTTCCCCGGACCCTAAGCTCTTTCACGAAGGCTTCGAGTATAAAAGCAACCACCACGTTGAGCACAAACACCACAATGACAACATAGAACGAGGCGAAAAATACCGTGGCCCTCCACTGCTGCCCTGGCGGCAGCACCGCCGCCACCCCATCCATGATGACATACCAGTTGTTCACTATGCACAGGTTGAAAGACACAGCCATAGACGCAGGAAAGTCGTTGAAATTGAGTGGCAGGAAGCCGGAATTGAGGTACTCTGTGCGTTGTAACTGCGGGTGGTGCGAGGATAGGAGGCCCCCGAAGAGGTGGGTACCGGCGAGAGAGAAGAGGGAGAGGGTTGTGAAAAGGAGGGCGAGGATGGGGAGGATGGAGGGGAGGAGGGCGGAGAGGGAGGAGAGGAGGAGGTGGAGGCGAGGGAGGTAGTGGGAGAATGGAAGGAGGGGGAGGCAGCGGACGAGCAGAGCGGCTTGCAACCTGGTGTCAGGGAGGCCCAAGGGGGAGAGGAGATAGGGGGATAAGATAGCGGGGACGGAGATCTTAGGCTGCAACTACCAACAAACTGGAACCTGGAGGCATGGACTTGTCTGAGCAAGGCATGACATAGCATGGGCATGGCAAAGCACGGGCATTGCACAGACAGCATACCAGGGTAGAGCGTCAGGGGGGTGCGGAACCCTGCTTGGTCCAGGTGTTTGAGTGGCACGCAGCCAGGGGAAGCCAGGTGGCGGTGCCTTCTGAGTCGACTCACAAGGAGTCACACGCGGCCAGGGGAGAGAAGTTTCAGCTGGGGGTGGTGCCAACAGCAGCAACCGAAGAGGGTGCCATCCTTCCCATCCATCCCATCCATGCTTCCACTCAGCTGCTGATGCTGAGGTTGCTGGAAACACCTGCATATGCAAACGCTGATGCTGCTGAAGCTGCTGCTGCTGGAGGTGGTAGGGGTGGTGTTGATGCTGCAGGTGTCGGTGCAGGTAGTGGCCAGGAGATTTGGTGGAAAACGCGTAGGGGAAGACCGAGTACACAGGGAACAGGAGGAGAATGAGGACGAGGAGAGGGATGGAGGAGAGGAGGTGGAGTCGCCAATGGGGGGAGAAGATGTGAGGCCAGCACTGCCAGCAATGGAGGACGAAACGGATGATCCATGCAACAGCTGCAGGGAAGCAGGTGGGGGAGGAGGGGGGGAGGGGCATGTGAGAGCGGAAGGGGACGGGGTGGATAGATAATGAGAGAAGAATAGGTGTGGTGGGTGCAGCACTGATGGTGCTAATGGAGGCAGCTAGAAAGAAAAAGTGGTACGGCTGTTGCAATGAATCCACGTGTGGTGCTACAAAGGGGATCCGAGTAGTAGAGGGAGGCGGCTATGAAGAGCGGACGACAAAGTTGCAAGCATAACATGGGTTGATAAGAGATGTGGCAAGCATAACATGGGATGATAAGAGATGTGGCAAGCATAACATGGGATGATAAGAGATGTGGTAAGCATAACATGGGATGATAAGAGATGTGGCAAGCATAACATGTGATGATAAGCGATGTTGCAATGATGGGAGGATGTGAGCGCACCTGCCAAGACTTGCACGGGAACAAGGAGCGCTGGGTTGATGCCTGTGAGACACTGCGAGGGAGGGATGCCGGCAATGGCGGGGGGATGGACAGACATTGGCAAGGGAAGAGGCTGCGGGACAGGAGGCGGGTGATGGGTCTGTGGCACTGTGAGTGTCGTTCTCATGGTGATGGCGGAACGGAGGTGGGGGGACAGGAATGACAAGGAAAGGAAGGAAGAAAGGAAGGAGGGAGGGAAGAAGGGAAGGAGGGAAAAAGGGGAGAGGAAGAAAGGAGGGAGGAGTAAAGGACAGGGAGAGGGGAGGAAGGGGGGAGGGAAGGGGTAGGGAAGGGGGGAGGGAAGAGGGGAGGGAAGGGGGGAGGGAAGGGGGGAGGGAAGGGGGGAGGGAAGGGGGGAGGGAATGGGGGAGGGAAGGGGGAAGGGAAGGAGGATGATATGGCGAGGGGGTGTCACCATGTTTGCTTCAGCCACGAGCAGCAGTGTGACGACGAGACCCAGCTTCTCAGCTCTTGATGACCACCTCTGCTGCTGCAGCAAACCTTGGTGGAACACAGCACCATGCGATGCTCTGGATGCCACTGCTGCTGCTGCTGCTGCTGCTGCTGCTGCTGCTGGTGGTGATGGCGGTGCTGGTGATGGCGGTGCTGGTGATGGTGGTGTTGATGACAAGGCCTGTGATGGTGACGATGGGGACGGTGGTGATGGAATGAGTGCGAGCGGCATGGGGCGGGGATGGGACGGCAGGAGCGCCTGCAGCAAGGACGTCGAGGACGAGAGCGGCTGTGCTGCTGATGAGAATGAGCGCGACCGAAAGGGTGATCGTAGTGATGCTGATTGTAGGAAGGTTTGCTGTGCTTGTGGCAATTGTACTGTCCGTGATGGTGATTGTGGTGATGGTGGTGTGAACGGTGGCGAGACCAGCTGCTGATACCCTCTCGGATTGGCATTCTCATGCTCATAGTACCGCCCATGGTGGTCACCATGGTTCCGGGTGCCATAGTGCCAGCATGGCTTATGCCGGCCACACAGCCAATGCTGCTCATAGTGCCTATGACACTCATCAAACCCATCTGCCACGCTCTCTACCTCTTGCAACCCATATGCCTGGAACAGAGGCGGCAAGGGGCAAGTAGGAGCCGCAGAAGCAATGTGGTGTGAGGCACACGCAGGCAGAGCATCGAGCGATGGGTGGGGAGCAGCAGAAGCAGCAGCAGCAGCAGCAGCAGAAGAGGTGACGGAAGAGGAAGAACCGGGGTGCTGGAAGTTGCGCTGAGAGCCCCTGCCGCATTCGCCCCCACAAGCCAACGCACGAAAATTGGGAGCAGAAGCCACTGCCGACACCCTCTTCCCTCCTCTCTCTTCTACTCCCCTTCCCTGCCATCCCCCTCCCCCCAATACAGCCTTCCCCCAGCCTCCTCCCCACCATCCCCTCTTATCCATCACTGCCATCTCCCGGGCCTGCTGCCCCAGCGCTTCACACAGCCCCTGGAACTCGTCCGCCCAGATGCGGAGGTCGCCCCGCGTGTCTAGACGGAGGAACAGGGCTGATATGTGGCTCGCCCCGCGTGGGTGGGACCTGAGAGGGGGGCGGGGGGGGAGAGCGAGAGGAAGATTGAGAAGGAAGAAAGGAAAATGCGGGGGGGAGAATAGTGAGAGATAGCTGCATGCTATGGAACTCAAATGTTATGTTACCAGTGGGAATGGAATGTTAGGCGGCTTACCAACACAAAGAAGGATCAAAACGCTCATGAAATGTGTTTTATGTGTTTTACGTAATAGAAATTAATATCGCTCTTGCCCATTCAAACGTTCATACAAGCTCTGTCTGCTGTGACCACTCATGCTTTGGGGAAACGGAAAGAGATACAAAGCACTAGATGAAACTAGTCAGAGCAAGCAGCGCATTTGTAACCGCTAAAATGGCCCAAGTGCGAGTCCTACTCCTATCACTTCAAACCCCGTTCATCGTTTATGTCTGCTCTGAATAGGTCGGTCGCCTAACCTTCCTTTCGTAAAAATAACACTTGAATCCTCGCCTATAGCACATGCACCTTGAATTTAATATCCACACGCCAGTTCAGACGGCGTTCACGCGAATGAAGGACGAACGATGTAGTTCAGATGGAGTTCACCTGAGGAATCTCCTGCCACAGCTCTCAACAAGACCCACCGGTGCCGCCTTTGAGTCGACTCAAAAGCAGACTCATCCGATCCGAGGAATCTCCTGCCACAACTCTAAACAAGTTACAAGACCCACCAGTGCCCCCCTGGTGCGGGAAATGGTCATGTCCTCCTGTACCGCATCACCCTTCGGGTTGAGGGTTTAGGAGTCAAGCCCCCCCCCATGCATTCCTCATGCCCCCCCCATATCAAATTGTCCCTGATGCACTTCTGTACAACCCTCGCATTAGTGTGCACGCCCTTATACAAAATCAGTAGTGATCATACTTGAACGGCTCCATGGCTCTTAGCAGATGCGTGATGGTGCGCGCTGGCAAGCACAGCACAGCACCCACCCCTGCCGCCTCTCGTCCAGCAGAGTGAATGAACCACAAAATACCATGAGCACTATTTTTGAGGCGCCTCGAAAATAGACTCACCATGTGCACGCTCCTATACAGCATTCTCAAAGTTACTGGAATTCTCACTTGAAGGGCTCCATGGCTAGTAGCAGCTGTGTGATGGTGCGCGCTGGCACCCACCCCTGCCTCCTGTCGTCCAGCAGGGTAAACGCCTCCCTCAGGCACGCCTCCCGTGCTGTCACCTGCTTGCGCTCCCACACTGCCATCTGGCGGTGGTTGTGTGGGCAGGCAGGGTGGGTGAAAGAACGAGGGGAGTGAGAGTGAAAAGCCACAGAGATTTCGCATGGTTACCCACAGGCATGCCTCCCTTGCGGCCACCTGCTTGCGCTCCCACACTGCCATCTGGTGGTGGTAGTGCAGGCATGGACGGTGACAGTGTGTGTGATATTCACATGCTTGCGCTCCCACACCGCCATCTGGCGGTGGTCGTGTGGGCAGGCAGATTGGTGAACGAACGAGAGGAGTGAGAGTGAAAAGCTACCCCTCCACTCCTCATGGGATTGCTCATGGTTTCCCGCAGCCACGCCTCCCGTGCTGTCACCTGCTTGCGCTCCCACACTGCCATCTGGTGGTGGTCGTGTGGGCAGGCAGGGGGGTTGAAAGAACGAGGGGAGGTGAGAGTGTGAAAGTCTCCTTCTTGCACTCCTCCCACACTGTCACCTGGTGGTGGTTATGTGGGCACGGTTGCTGAGAGGAGGAGTAGTGTGAGAGAGGGCATGGTGAGGAAGCATCTGCTTGGGACTGTATGGACAGAGCAGTGCAGGGCATGTGAAGTCTGAGAAGGAGTGGGAGTGAGTGTAAAGGTGGGTGACGTGGCAACAGAATGAGTGACAGAGAGCAGGAGTAAACGGGAGAGAGCGAGAAATGAGAGAATGTGGGGCAATCTGATGTTTAGCTCACAATGTGCAATGCTGAAGCCTAAACGCTGAACAAGTGCAAGGGTGCAAACCTGAGAGCTGCAGGAGGAGTAGATGACGAAGAGAACCAGGTTCATCCAGAAGCATCGATCCCATAGCAGGCGGCAAAGAAGAGGAGGGAGAGGCGCAGGGGACAGAGAGGATATCGGCAGACATGCGAAGCACCTGAGAGCTGTAGGAGGAGTAGATGACGGAGAGCACGAGGTTCATCCAGAAGAGGCCGAGCGCGAGGTAGGAGGCGAAAAAGAGGAAGGAGAGGCGCGAGGCGTTGAGCTCCGGCAGCCAGACGTTGGGGTTGTTGGCCGTGGTGAGCAGGATGAACATGGCGCGCAGAGACGCGGGCAGCGAGGAGAAGACGGAGGGGGATGGGGAAGAGGAGGAGGAGGAGAAGGACGAGGGGTTGGTTGCAGTGGTGGCGGTGGTGGTGGTGGCGGCCGCGGTGGCGGTGGTGGTGGCAGCAGTAGAGGAGCCAAATAGGATGAAAGCTAACCAGGCGAAGGAGACCACGAAGACAGTGAGTAGGATCTGCATGGGGAGAGGGAGAAAGAGAGGGGAGAGATGATGGGGAGAAGAAGTGTGGGGAGGAGAGTGGGATGGGAGGAGAGCATGGGAGGAGGAAGCACGGGAAAGCAGGAGTGGGATGGGAGGAAGCATGGATGGAGGGTGGTGAGATGGAGGGCAGTGGGATGGAGGGCGGTGGGATGGAGGGTGACTGACAGCAATGTCAAGGAAGGAAGCGATGATGCGCAGGGTGGTGCGGAAACAGCCTCGGATGGACCTGAGGAGGGAAGAGCGAGAGCACGAAAGGGAAAAGGAACGAAGGGGGGAAGAGGAGTGGGGAGGAGAAGTGGGGGAAAGCGAGTTGGACGAAGTGCAAAAGAGATAGAGAAATGGACGGAACAGAAGCATGAAATCGGGGAGAAGGAGGACAGGAGAGAGGGGGAGTCAGCGGAACCCTCGACCTCACAACGAAAACAAGAACACTCGGCCACACCGCTTTAAACCACAAACGACCGCAGCGAACCCACCTGCTGAAGAGGATGGCAAGCAGCACTCGAAAGTAGGGAGCGATGGGCACGGGGAGAAAGCGGGCCGCAAGGCGAGGAGAGAGACGATGCAGGGAGAAGGAGGAGGTGCGATCGATGACTATCCCCACTGCTGCTGCTAACTAGGACACGGGGGAGGGAGCGGAGGGTGGTGTGTGGGGAGTGGAGGGGGTTGATGAGAGAGGGAGTGAGAGACAGGGGAGATCGAGTGCAGCGAAACAAAGCAGAACAAATCAAGGCAAAGCAAAGCAAGGCAAAGCAAAGCAAAGCAAAGCAAAGCAAAGCAATAGAAGGTGGAAGATCTGGAGGGGACTGATAGCCCATTGTGATGGCAGTCGAATGGAAGTAACAATCCTCACTCGCACTCTCCTGCCCACCTCGGAGGAAAGTCCCATCTGCCGGGCAGAAGACCCACCATGCAGACAACCAACCTTGCAAGGAGGGCGGGTTGCAGGGAGGGCGGGTTGCAGGGAGGGCGGGTTGCAGGGAGGGCAGGTTGCAGGGAGGGCAGGTTGCAGGGAGGGCAGGTTGCAGGGAGGGCAGGTTGCAGGGAGGGCGGGTTGCAGGGAGGGCAGGTTGCAGGGAGGGCAGGTTGCAGGGAGGGCAGGTTGCAGGGAGGGCAGGTTGCAGGGAGGGCGGGTTGCAGGGAGGGCAGGTTGCAGGGAGGGCAGGTTGCAGGGAGGGCAGGTTGCAGGGAGGGCAGGTTGCAGGGAGGGCGGGTTGCAGGGAGGGCAGGTTGCAGGGAGGGCAGGTTGCAGGGAGGGCAGGTTGCAGGGAGGGCAGGTTACAGGGAGGGCGGGTTGCAGGGAGGGCAGGTTGCAGGGAGGGCGGGTTGCAGGGAGGGCAGGTTGCAGGGAGGGCGGGTTGCAGGGAGCGAGAGGGGACGGACCTTATAGCGGGCAACGTGGTTGCGGCAGAAGGAGGGTCCGCCGAGGATGCAGCGCTGCAGGGCGAGGAAGGCCAGCGCCACCGCCACACACACCGCCTGATGGCCGTCGTGGGGTAGAGAGGCAGAGGGGCATGGGCGTGTGCGTGTGGGTGGAGCGGAGGGGAACCAGTGGGCGGCAATGGCAGAGGTGGTATCGCTTGCGAGACCTGTCCACACATGAGAAGCTGTGCCCACGGCTGTGCACAGCACAGTGGGACCAGGTTCTATGCATGTGCAAGAACAGGGCAGAAGAGCTGGCAAGAAGAGGAGGACATGCACATACCTCGATGAGGAGAGTGAGAGCGTGCGGCATGTAGGGCAGGCCACTGAGGGCGTAGACCGAGGGGTCGCCACAGAGGGGAGGAGATGGGGTATTGGCCGTGCACCACGCCGGGAGCTGGAGGGGCGATGGAGGTGCGATGGAGGGGCGATGGAGGGGCGATGGCAGGCAAGGGGGAGAGAAGAGGAGAGCAGAAGGGAGCAGTGGGATGGGGTGGGTTGGATGAGCAAGGAACAGAAGCAGCCGAGCTCCCTTGCCATCCCTATTCCTCTTCCTCCCTCCGCCAGCTACTCTACTCTTCTCTTCTCTTCCCTGTCCTCTCCCCCATATCCCACACCATCCATCCCCTCCCTGCTCCATCTCTCCATCTCCATCTCTCCATCTCCATCTCGACTTCTCCCGTGCCTCCATCACCCCCCCGCTCGTCCTTCCAACTCGCCCCCTCCACTCCACCCACACCGAAGTACGGCAGCAGCAGCAGCAGCAACACCCCACCAACAAGGCAGCCCTCACGCCCTATCCGCGTTAGTACCACCCCACCACCCCTTCCTCTTTCCTCGCCATACCCCTCGAACAACCCCCCCCCAGACCACGCCCCCCACCACAAGCACCACCACCATAGCACCCCCACCCACCCACCTCGAAGAACGGCAGCAGCAGCAGGACCACCACCATGGCAGCCCTCACGCCCTCCCCTCGTTGGTACCACCCCACCCATCTGGCAGCAGCCCCTCCGCCCTCCTCTCTCACCGCCTCCAGAGGCACCCATCGGCCCGCCATCGCCTCCTGGACCAAATACGCCGCTCTCTCCACCCTGCCCCATGTCCTCCGTTCCCCTCTGCCCCCTCCGCCCCCTCCGCCCCCTCTTCCCCCTCTGCCTAGCTCTGCCCCACTCCTGCTGCCACTAGCATGTGATTTGAGCCCTGCCTGCACTCTCTCTTGCCACTCCCTTCCCTCACTCCCCTGCCATCTCTCCCCTCTTCCCACTTTTTGGACTATCGCCCCCCTCTCTCCTCCGCCCATGCCCCACAAATTCCCACTCTCCCTTCTCACAGCGCCATGCCCTCCCCCATGCCCTCCCCCATGCCCTCCGCCATGCCCTCCCCCATGCCCTCCGCCATGCCCTCCGCCATGCCCTCCGCCATGCCCTCCGCCATGCCCTCCGCCATGCCCTCCGCCTTGCCCTCCTCCATGCTTACCCTGCTGCGCTCGGCCTACCGCCATCGCTTCCTGGGCGTGGCCAGGGACACAGCACCACGTTCCCTGCGGCTGCTGCTGCTGCTGCCGCTCCTCTGAAAGCTCTTGCCTCTCCCCAGCAGTACCGGCAGCGTCAGCACGCAAGTGGCAGCACGAAGGCAGTGTCCCTTGCTCCTCAGAGCTGCCTCGTAGCCGGGCCGACTGTCCCGCTAACTCCTTTGCCCTCCTTCCTTCCCCTCTCTCCTTCCCCTCCGCCTCCGTTCCTCTTCCTTCTCTCCGTCTCCCGCCCCCCTCCTGCCCCTCCTCCCCCTCCTCCCCCTCCTCTTCCTCCACCCTCCCTCGTCCACTCTCCACGTCGTATTCCCCTCCATCTCTCCTTGCCGCGAGCATGTTAGTAGTTTCCCTACTCTCCTCCTCCCTCCAAAACGGTTCCCAGAGCGACTGGCTTCTCACGTTGCTGCTGCTGCCGCCGCTGCTGCTGCTGCTGCTACTCCCTTCCGGCCCTCTCTCCCCTCCTCTCCCCCGTATACTCCCACCATAACTCTCACCTTTACTCCTCCCATTAATCTCTCTCTTACTCTCCCCATTCTCCACTTTACCCTTCCCCCTGCCGTCCACCATGCTTCCCCCTTCGTGTTCCACTCCCCCTAGCGGCCAATAATCACTCCCGCGCGCCAAATCCCGCGCCATCGCCGCTAAGATCCTGATCCGCTACACGCAGACTCTTTATCCCGCTACTACTGACGCGCGCGAGCCGCCGGACGAATGTGTCGGGTCGAGGCGGAATCCGCCGGCCGGCACAGAGCGCTTGTGCAGCCCGTTGACCGATCCCTGGACGCTGTTGACTTGAGAACGAACGTTGACTTGAGAACGAACGTTGAATTGAGAGCGACCGTTGACTTGAGAGCGACCGTTGACGTGAGAACAACCGTTGACTTGAGAACGACCTGCGATGCGCTAAGAACGAGCACTGGCGGAGAGAACACGGCTGACCGGCAATATGCCTCGGCGATCAATTATAAGGAACATGACCACTAGACTGAACGACCGTCCGTGACGACGTCCGACGAGCGCCGCGGAGACTAGGATCGAGTAGGAGAAGCATTCGAGATGGCAAGGCGAGTCACGAATCACGTTCGAGCAGAGAGACAAGATTGAGCAGGCAAGTACCGCTAAACTTCCCGTGGGAATTCGCTCTTATGGCGGATCCGTGCAGGCTAGTTCCGAGCTAAGGTCAGGTCGAACATTTCAAGCATCCCTCAATTCTGCAATAGGCTATGTCTCAAGTGTGTGACCGAAGTGTCGTCATTGAACCCCTGCTACGGTTCAGCGCGGTCTTACGAAAGTTCCCACGTTTTCGTACGTTACAGTAAGGTTCAGATGTGAACACATGCGCCCCGACGAAGTGTGAGTGCTGAGGGCGTGTCCTAAGCGTACGTCCGAATGCGGTTGTGGACTGCGTTTCAAAAAAGCAAATATCTTCGGGGGGGTATTGGCCAAAAAATAAGGGCGTGGAACATACAGTTCCGAACAGCCTTCGTCCGAACTTCCACCTCACTGTACCATGCGTTTATTAAACTGAATTACGTCGAAACCGTTTTTCAGACCACTCTACCACACTGGCCGTCCAAACTTTCAGAAGTTCGGAACTGTATGTTCCGCGCCCTAACGCTCAGGACACTCCCTGAGCTTTGGTTCAGAGAGACCACAGCACAGCACACACACATGCTGGACCCGAGGCTGTCTGGTGGGGGGAGTATGGACGTTTGATTGGTTGCCACGTTTCGGGAAGAACTGATATTCAACCAATAGCGTCATGTACGGCGTGGCAGCTAACCGAGCAGCGAATAGCAGTCCAGACCAGGGTGTTTGAGGGAGCATGAGGGCTGTCATTAGGCGGGTGAAGAATGTAGACAGGCGATTATTTGTTCTACTTCCGATCATATATGCTTTCACAGGATGGATGCATATAGGTACCGTACCGTACATGATCATGCTTTCCACAAAAGGTTGGGTTAGTTATGCTGAACATAAAGCAAGGATGGCTGGCTGTCTTTGCGCCTCCACAACCGAAATTGGATGTCAAATATGATCATATCGCACTTCTCACATGCCATACATACAACAATGTACAAAGTCCTCTGGCAGCGGACCGTACTTTAGTAGGGTAACCTAAGTAACCCCATATATACAGAGTAACATGCTCTGAGACTATTCTCCAAGGGGCGTTGGAGGGTCTTCGCCGGCATGCAGACAGGACAAGCAATGACCCTCAAACGCCCCAAGGTTTCTTCCTCTCACCCCCACCTCCCTCTCTCCACCCATGACCCTTACACGCCCCAACCTGTCCCTACCCCGCCGCACTCCTCCCTCAACATACAAGTATCTCCCCCTTTCCTCTTCCCCCCTTCATGCCTTCTCCTGTTCCAGAGGTGCCAGCTCATCCACCATAACCTGCACCCGCCTACACATCAGATTCACCAGCGGTTCGATTCCCAGCGCCTTAGCCGCCTTGAATATCTCCATAAGTCCATCCCCATCAACTTTAGCCATGAAATGCTCCTCCCACTCCTCCCTCCCTGCTTCCTCCTCCATGCCCCCCCACGTCCCCTGCCCGTTGCCGTTGCCATCCTCGATACTGGTCGTTTCGGTAACCGTCCTTTCCACCTCAACTTGGTGCTCGCAGAACTGAATCGCCTTCGCCACGCCTTGACTCGTCGCGTCCACAGCTATCACAGGTAAATCGTCGCCTGAAATCGCCCTGCGACTGCTGCTGCTGCTGCTGTTAGTGTTGTAAGAGCAGCCACCAGTGCTGACGATGGGCCCGCTTATGGCGTTTCCTTCCTTGTCGTTCGCGTCACCGTCGCCGTCGCCGCCTGCAGGAGCGTCGGATGCGCGGTCGCAATTGATCGCCTGTCGCACAGGGTCCATGTGCATGGCGACTTCCTCTGCGACAGGCAGCACAATCCGATCCGCGCTTAGCAGGCGGACTAACGATTTACCAGTCATGGCTGGAAAAGAGCGGAACGGGTAAGGAGCAAAGCAGCACGGGCGTGGCACGCGAGAGAAGGCAAACGGGCGAGAGAAGGCAGGACGGAGACGAAACCAGTGAAGAGAGGACGACGAAACCAGGATGAATGAACCCAGTCGCAAGACGAAACGATAGTGATAGAACCAGGACGGAATGGAGAAAGAAACGCGGAACACGAATAAATAAGGAGAGGAATGAACGCCAGGTTCAGGGGAAACTGGCGAGCACAGCTATCGACGGCTCAGACATCAAGGCGAGATTCCCGCGAGCACCTCCATCCACCCGCACCGCTGCGTAATCGTGCGGGAGTTTCCACCACGAGCTGTCTCTCCCTCCCTTGGTCGGCCTCTCTCTCTCTCTCGTCCCC